AAAAAAAAAAAATCAATACCTTAAACGATTTAGCCGTCTTGAACTGATAGAAAGGGTTCCTAGGGCCTGAAACAGTGAAATTATTACACTGGTATGGTATCTTAAATTGCTTAACATCTCTGCCCGTCCTAGTGTTGAAGTGTCAGGTCTCAGATGGCCAGCAAAGAAAGGCTCAATAATCAAAACAACAGCAACTGTAGCACCCAGATACTTCAATAAAAAGTCTTGAATCATGCCAAACCACCAATGGTCGTGAAGGACTATTCTCATGTGCTTAATTAGTGTCTTAAACTTCTGTTGAATATGAGATTCTTCTCTACTTTCTCCACCATAAAATGCTATACTTTCTGCATGGGTTCTTAACCGTGAATGAAGCTGTCTATATTCTCCTTCCAACTGCTGTTCTTTAGACATTAGTTTCCCAAAAGCAGGAGTGAAGTTTCTTATTGCAGTCCCTGCCCCCAATACATAGGCCTGAAAAGCGACTTTACATATTAATGTCATAAAATCACAAACTAAGATGGTACTCACTTTAGGCACAAACAGTTGCAGCTATGAGGAAACTAGCTATAAGTGAATTTCTGGAAAGTTGCACCACTAATGAATGTGAAAGTATTCAACAGAAAATTACCAATATCCATAAAACATATTTTGGGCTGGCATAAGAACAAAGGCGCCAAGTATAGAGCAGACCATCAGTAACTGCTGTCAAATCATCCTGTACAATTTCGCTCAGCTCTGAACAAAACCTTGGGACATCACTTGCAATTCTTTGTTCAGGATTTCTAATCCGACCATCAACATGTGATATTTTGTAATATGCCATATTCTGAGACCCAAATAAAACAGTGGTGAATAACAGAGAGTATACAACAGGAAGAACAGAATAATCCATCCACAACACAATTTCTATTACTATTCTAGGAAGGAAATACATAGAATAGTAGAAGAAGGGTTTACATAACTACCTCAAAATAATGTGCATGAATAAGCTTTGTCAATATTTTTCTGAACCGCAAACTTAGAGTCCCTGTGATATATTTTGATGTAGAATGAATTGTTGACAAAAGAAAGCACAATAGAATATTTTCGGATATTAGCCTGAAAAATAATGGTGCACGTCGAAGAAAAGCAGCACGGAATAGGAAACCTTGCACTTTTGCCAATCTATTGCTTAAACCAGTTCTCAATACCTGCAAGAAAGTACCCAAAAAAAAGAGTTCTACTTATTGTTGAAAAGCTTTCATGTCAATCTCCACCAGAAAAGAACTCTATCTCCAATTTCGCCAGGTTTTTACATTGTTATTTTTCAAATTTCCATTTGCAATAACTAATGGTCTTCATAAGCAAGGTCCAAGTTACATAAAAGCTTGTAGGAAAATCTTCATTTTTTGATCTATCATCCATAACAAAATGCATTGCCAGACCAAATCATTTACAGATTTAGGTTAACTTAAACAACAAAAGCATTTGTCAAACTCCAAGAAAATAAAAAATGATGCTGGGTCACTTATTTGATTGTTTTCTCTTTTTATTGTCCAGACATAACTCAGATTGATTCCATATGCAGTCAAAGAAACCTCTACTAAAACCAAATAGCTCGAAATTCAATTGAATTAAAAAGTGAAGATAGAGGCATATAGGACGTTGAAAAACAATTATAAAATGCATTTTAAATGACATTTAATGTATAAATAAATTATTCAGTTCTTTCTTTGTCTGTTAACAAACATGCTAGTAAGATTTAATATTAAGAGGCCTGCTCATAGGAATTTTCTTGTGAAATACTCTGCATAATTTAACCATTTTTTTCTGAGACAGAAACAATGAGCAGGCCTCCTGTAATAAACAATAACAAGACACAGGTGAAGAGTGAACATAGTGATGAGGCATGGAATGTCAAAAATCCACATGCACAAAATGCGGGACTTTACCGCTATGGCCACCAGAGCCAAGAGATTTCTTGCACCAACTTGGCCCATCTTAGATAGAAGAATTCCTGCTAGAATCTGAAGGGACTTTAACCCTCCCTTCTTTTGTCTGCTTTTCTTTACATTATCATTATTTGTAACTCCCTTGTTCGAATTTTCTTCATTATCTCTAATCCCATTGTAATGACCCAAGGAATCGGACTTTTTACCATTGAATCGTGATTGCACATAAGCAGCTGTGCCACCAACCACCAAAACACCAGTGGCAAGCAGTAGTGTTTTTCTGTTAAACCATGATGAAACTTTATTATCAAGATTGTAATAGGTGAACCTTGTAACAAGGAAATAAAAATTCTACAACATGGGTGTTTAAAAGGGCCCAAAACAGTACATTATCATGTGCTTTCATTACTTTCAAACTGACAACAACAAAATCTCCTAGAGTAAGGACAAGCTCTACTACTAGACACATGACCCCAAAAAAGACAATATGTTGACCAAGAAATGAAGAGACTGTATATAGATAAATATTAGCAGTATAAAAAACAGAGTTTTCTTGGAAATAAAGTACAGTTTTGAGAAGATTAAGCAAAGACAAATACCCATGAAAGAGTGTATAGATCCACTGAGCAACTTCTAAACTCTTAAAACATCTAAGAATATAAACAGACAAATTTACGGTGTTCCTTGTTAACCAACTAAAGCTTACCCATATTTTAAAATCTTTGATATCAGGGATCAAGGTGGTCAGGGGTTCAAAACCTGTATGGTAGCTGAGTATCTAACTTTCCACATGCACCCAACAAATAAAAGGTAATAATGGTAAAAATAAGATAAAATAACAATGTTCCTATTATTCTATTACCATAATTTGAAAGGGCAATTCATCAGTGAAATAATGAAAAAGACTCGTAAATGTGTACAGAGAAAAACTGTCTTCTGCTGTTAAGTCATTAAAAATTTTGTAGAACTTCTAAGTTCCACACAGAATATATAATTATATCATCTTAACAACAATTTGGATTAACTCAATAAGTATGTTCCTCTATCCAATATCAGTTGATTATCATCAATTTAGTTACAAAATACCTCCTCGCAGCCAGGAGATTTCGACCATGCTCAGTTAACTGCAAGAGTTGCAAAGAAGGCATTGCTGAATCTGAGCCTCCCCACAGCAACAAAAATTAGCAATTGAGGTGAGAGGAAAAAGTCTGGAATGCAAAAATAAAAAAAAATAGATAAGATGAAAATGCTTCAGGATTTCCCCCACAGACTATGTAAGGAGTTGAGAAAGTTGAAGAGAAATTCATGCAATATAGGCATTCCACATGCCAATGTGATAACTGTTACAATAACTACATGAGAACCATGTTGAGAATATTATTTGTCCAAAATAACAGAAACCTAGCTTTTAAGAAGATTTCACTTAAGCCTCTTACTAGGGATCTTAATTAGCTCACTTTAAATAGCAAGTGATAACCTAGTACTTTAAAGCACAAGACTGACAAAAATATATTTCCAATCATATTTCTTTCTTTCTTCCACCTCAAGGATCTTTATTTTCTTCTTTCTTCATGCAACTTTTTGTTTTCTGTTGGACAAATTACAATGTTGCAACAAAAATGAAAAGTAGGTTTTCAAAATCTACATGGTGCATACCAGGTTCACCAATGGCTCTTTCTTTATTTCTGCAACCCTAGTTTAGCTTCATGCATGAGAACAAGCATAGAACTTATAAAGTATTCAGCACATAAGTTCTTAAAAGAAAAGGATAAATTTGACAAATGTCATTGGCATTTTTCATTCACCAAAACATCCTACATCTTGCCACCAGAAAATTTCTTCATAACAATTGGCTTATGCCAAATAACCAGGCTACCAGTACTCATATCAGACTCTCTAAATAAGGGTAAAATGAACAACTCAAAAAGATAGGATAGTTGGAACAAACTTCCAATGTAAGTGAGAGTATCCGATGCAATCAATCAAAAGCTTCAGTCCAAATCAATACACAGCAGGCAAATATTGTGAGAAGCAAAAACCTAATACACATTGCAACTACTTTCTCACAGTGAGTTCTTAAAATTCCAAACCTTATAAAGTAATAAAGGCCAACAATGTTAACCAAGCTCCATCAAATGTAAACATGGGCAAGAGTACATCCTTCCTGAAAATTGAATATCCTAATATTGAAACTCTGAAGCAGAGAACAAGCTTTATAATCTTCTTTCTTATCAAACCAATTCTCCACCAGAACTATTGGGCATAGAATCTGCAAAGTATATTATTCAAGTACAATTATGAAAACCAACACATAACAATGCGGTAAACAAAGTAATTCAAGACAAGTAGCAGAAATAGATTTACAATAACAAGTACACAAATGAATCTTTTGAAGTTCAATAGGAAGTCAACTGCAGCAAAAGGAGTACATTGAAGAGTGTATCAAAACGAATTGTTAATTAAGTGATATCTGACAGATATTGCTTGATCAATTATGCCAGAACTGCTATTCACTTTGAAGAGAATGAAATCTAAATAGAAGAAAAATGGATGAATTAAAGAAATTTACCAAAAATCTTTTGATTTTAGAATGGTTATTGAGATAAAAAGGCCAGCCATTCTTTATAGTCAATATGTCAGCTAACTGAAAGCATACATTGCAAACTGCGAACTATTGCTGTCTAAATACTAGAACCATGAATGCTTTAAAACAACAGGTAATTCTATGCATTCTGACACCAGAAAGGTAAATGAAGAAGCCCAAAAGAACAAGCACTGAGGCAATAAGCAAAACAAAGTAATGGCAAAGAGTATTCCAGATTTCCAGAGCATTCATTAGACTTGCAGGATAATATATTTTGAATCTACTCAAAAGTCAACTACAAGCTTAATAACTGAGATAATATTAAAATTTCAAGCACATCTAACAAATTAGACAAGTTTGATGTCAACAGAGCTGGACTCTTTTATTCATGAATGGTCATGGTATAACTCATCATCAATAACTAGCAAACAAAGCTTATACAGTGACTTGTTTATATGTCAACATATTTTTTTCATTTGGATTAGTTTTGGTGTTTTTATTTAAGAATTCAAGTGTCTCCATTCAACATGGTTTCATCTGGAATGTCTTAAGCCGGAAAGCTTTCAATTGGAATTTTATAGATATTTTTAACTTCAACTTTCAACTTTCTATTTTTCTTTGTTGGTTTCGTTGTAGTAGTTGGGTTAAATGTGAAGGTTTAAAAGATTTATATTCATATAAATCAATAAGATTCCTCTAATTATGATTTTATAAGCAATCCTACTGATCAAGCTTCAGAACCAACTACTAACAAGCTCAAACCAAGCTAAAGCCAAGCTCATAGTCCAACTAACTAACAAACTTTGATTAAGAAGATTTAACTGGATTAAGTTTCAAGATCAATCATAACCTAAATTTTTTTTAAAAATGGAGATAAAGTTGAGATGCCTCTGTACTCAACAGAAACTTAATGAACATTATATCTGAGTATGAAATCTAAATAGAAGAAAAATGGATGAATTAAA